ACCTTTGAAAAATTATTTAAATCACATCCAATTTCTTTGTCGTCTGTGTATTCTAGAAAATTTGGTACTCATCAAATTACGGGTTATTTTGGCAGAGGCCTAGCAGTTTGTGGGTTTCATATATTCAAAATATAAGATAAATTTTTATCTAAATTAATTAAAATCAGTTTAAAACAATAAATATATAAAGTATATATATATATATTTTAAAATATATCCTTATTAATAAAAAGAATACATATAAAATGCAATAAGGACTTGATTTTGATGGAAATAGAAATAGAAATAGAAATAGATATGGATATGGAAATGGAAATAGACATGGAAATGGGGTTTAAAAATATGTTTGGTATGACGGTGGAATTAGACTTAACTTTTGTTTGAAAAGACTTAAATACCCTTTAATTAAAAAATAAAAAAGGAAAATCCCCCTTCTTCATCCCCAACCTCCTCCGTGAACCATCACGCTGCAGAATAGTAGGCCATGCTTCAACAAACCGAGAACAATGGCCATGCTTCAACCAACCAGAAACAATCTCTACCCAGCATTATCAATAATCCATAATCAACACACCATGACTGATCTACAAAAATCAATGACCATCAAAAGAAAATAAAAAACCGAGATGCAAAAGCAAAAATGTCTTCTCAGATGCCAAAAAATGCCATCAAGCTTCAGCTAAATGCACTGAAGCAAATGAAGCATAAGCCAAAAGAAATGGCAAAACTAAGGAACCCTTCAATTTGGAGATGAAATCATGGGTTTAGATTGAAGCTGTCGTCGTCCTCAATTTTCAGATCTGGAATCGAAACCCAGGTAGACAAAGGAGAAGCCATTCTCGACCCCTCTTCCTCTCTTCGACTTATCAGATCTCTTCGATAGCTAACACCTTTAACAACTATGATCTGAAGAATAGGTAGTGGCAAGATCTACGGGTGGGTGAGAAGATTGCCGGCGGTGGGTTTAGGGTGTGAAGCCTGTGTGTCAATCATGAAAGGAGGGCAAAAATGAAATGTGCAACATGGAAATGCAAATATTTGGGTTGTAGGATGGAAGCCAATTCCATCCGCTTGGCTTCTATGTGGAAGCCAATTCCATGGTGTTTTGGTGTACCAAACATGCAAGAGGCACGGATTTCATTTTTATTTCTATTTCTGCCCCCTCAATTCCAGCGTACCAGACAGGATGTAAATGAACTAAACAGTAAAAAAAAAAGAAAATATATGGGGTAAAATTGAAAAAAAGTTATTAAATGTTTAAAAAAAAATAAATGTTATTTTATAAAAAAATCAAAGCCCTCCAATGAAATTTATCTTATAATTTTCTTCAAGCATGCATGAAAAGAACAAAGATTAAATTGTCTATTAATGTATTTTAAAATATAAAATATCTTCTTTGTCGTATAGACATACAAAAGGAAAATCAAATGCCAACACATACACTAACAAGAAGTCCTGTCGAGTGAAAACTTCTTTTGGGATTTTACCGATACAACTTCCCAGAATTGGTTTTCACTCGATAAATTAAAATATTAGCATATATAGAGTAATTATTTTCTAGGGATTAGAGCCGGGAATCAGGGCCGGCCCTTCAGGGCTGGCGGGCTTAAAAAGGCCGGCCCTCCAAGGCTGGAATTTTAAAAATACCCCAATTTGCTAGGCCCAGCCCTTAAGCTACAGGGCCAGGGCCGGCCCGCGGGCTTTTAGTCCGTTTATGAAAAAATACTATTTTTTATATTTATCATATTTTTTATAAAAATAAATCAATGAAATTATTAATAAAAGACATAAATATGAATAAAATTAAGTCACATATAAAATATCATCATATATAAATATTCATCAACATCTAAAACATTCATTAACAAGATAACAACATCTAAAAGTTTTATCTATAATGCAATTGTGCAATAAATAAACACTATTATTAATCTTTTGAAACTTCATCATCACTATAATTAATTACTTTTCTTCATAAGTATACTTTTCTTTCGTAACAAAAATATCAAATTTTTCTTCTTTATAAGAATTTTATTTTTAAATTTTGCAATCTAACTATTTTTTTACTTTAATGTGAGAAACATTGCTGTTAAAACTCATGAATTTCTAATTCAAATTATAGAATCACAAATTATATAAGTATAAAAATATTCTATTATCAAATATATATATAGTTTAAAAATATCAACGCATATAATATAAATCAAATCATTATTAAAGTCCAAATTAACCCATTTTTTAAAAATTTAATTGGATAAATTATTATCGAAAACTAAATTTACTTTTAAAATGATAATAATAACTAAATATTTGAAATATTATTAACAATGTAAAAAATTAATAACATTAATATTATATAAAAAAATTTTAAAAATAAAAAAAATATAAAAGGGCTTAAAAGGGCCGGCCCGTGGCCCTCCAGGGCCGGCCCTTTTAAGCCCTCGGCCCTCCAGGGCTTATGTTTCATTTTAAGAGAAAAATATCAAGCCCGGCCCTCATAATTTCAGGGCCTAAAAGGGCCGGCCCGACGGGCTCGGCCCGTTTTTCCGGCTCCAGGAAGGATAACCATCAATTTAAATAAAATTAAAATAAAACAAGGAACGCAGTTTTAGACCGTTGATGGAGAAACTTAATTGCATCATAGACCGTCTAATTAATTTAAATTATTAAAAATTGCTTACCATAATTTTTCAATAGTTCCAACTGATAGCCAAACATTGCTACCCGACAAATAAAGCATATAATTTTAAGATTTCGTTCTTTTGCAAATTAGTTGAGTCGAATAAAGCGTTAGGTAAGCAAGCATAACAAAGCAAATTTTAAAAAGTAATTTTTATGTGTATCCAACATCTTAAATTATTTTTTTTAATGACATCTAGGATTCTACAGTAATTTTTATGCATCCAGCTTCTTAAAAGATTTTTCATTTGCACTCAGCTTTTTAAAAAATATTTTAGGGTATTGGATGCAGTAACAATTAATTTAAGATATTATGTGCTACTAAAAAAACACTTTACGGTATTATAAATAATGAAGAATTTTTATTATGGAAAGTCAAAATTGAGAAATTGCATTATACACATTTATAAACTAATAAAATAGAAAATCGAGAAATATTGATTTAGATTTTATTAGGTTAAAATAGTTAGTTGTTTTATTAGCTCCCCTCGGGTTCTCTCCTAAGCAGGTATCATTAACATTCCCTCCTTTCTTTCCAATCATTATATTTCAAACAAGGGATTGTTAAGATTGCTCTCCTCCCTTCTCCTGAACTCTGGTGAGCCAAATAAAGCATTAGGTAGGCAAGCATAATAATAGTTGAAATGAACAACAGGACAACAGGAATAAAGGACATGAAATAGATATGAGAAGCAAATTTTTAAAAGTAGCCATGCAATTCCGACAGAAATTCGGATTACTCCAGAGTGTCCAAACCTAGTCACCTTAAACTGCAATAACAAGGAAACAAATAGATTCCACCCAAGAAGAGAGTAGAGAGAACCAACAGTGAACATAAAAGTTTAATCCCAAATTGCAAAGGGGGGAGAAAAAATTAACGTCACTTTTCTTTTAATTTTAAGATTTCGTGCTATTGCAAATTAGTTGACCGATGTTCCAAATATTGAGTGAGAGATTATGTGTGTATAAAGATTTACTTCAAGTAAGTTTACACTGTGCAATCTAAATATTGGGGAAAAAAATATGCTTGTTTCATGAAATATAAAAGAAATGGTTTTTTTTTTTTTTGGGGAGACTAAGATGAGGATTGAGGAAGGAGGTCGATTTCATCATCACGTTGTTGAGATTGAAAGGACTGCTGAAGATAAGCGTAAAATCAGTAGTGGTTTATAAGGGTAGTAGGTCTGGTCTGGTGGCACCTGTCCCTATAAAGGCTCCAAAAAATGCTTAGCCTTGTGGACACGAGAGAAAAAGTTAGGGGTCCTCACCTTTGAAAAGGTTACGAGTTCTTTTGCAGAGGCCTTGCGGTTTGTAGGTTCCATTTTCCGTCCTTTTTTTTTTCGTCCTTTCTATTTTTCTCTTCATGGTAAAGTCGGGTAAAATGCAATTTATTCTCTGTGTTTTTCCCAACTTTACTTTTCTGTCTCCTTTACTTTAATTTTCTCTAAGCATGCATAGAAAGAACAAAGATTAGATTGTCTATTCATTTATTTTAAAATATAAAATATCTTCTTTATTACATAATATAGACGAACAAAAGGAAAATCAAACGCCAACATATACTACAAAAAATCTTGTCGAGTAAAAAATTCTTAAGGGATTTTACCGATACAAATTCCCAAAAGTGGTTTTCACTCAATAAATGAAAATATTAGCATATATAGAGATTGTTATGAAAAATGAGAAAGGTACAAAGATTGAGATGGGGAGATGGAAAAAATAAGAGGAAATTGGAGGAGAAATTAAGGGGGAGTTCTCATTCACTTCATTGTTTCAAATATGTGTACATCATCTCTTATTTATAGGACCCCAATATTGAAGACTATCCTAAAGAGTTACAAGTACATAAAGAAAGGAATTAAGCAACATAATTGTACAATTGGAGGTTATAGGAAATCAATACTTGAAACCCTTCAATTTGGGAGTTATAAGGTATAATGTCATGAACCATGAGAAGGAATCCCAAGGGGCTAAGGAGTTATGAACATCCACACAACATAATATTTACAACAGAGATATTATTTTCTCTTAGAGGGAAGGATAACCATCAATTTAAATAAAATTAAAATAAAACAAAGAACGCAGTTTTAGACCGTTGATGGTGAAACTTAATTGCATCATAGACCGTCTAATTAATTTAAATTATTAAAAATTGTTTACCGTAATTTTTCAATAGCTGCAGGTTGGGTCATCCACTTTAAATATCGTCCTTAAAGCTTTCTCTGACTGATAGCCAAACATTGCTATCTGTCATTCACTGCATTTCTGTCTTCTCCTTCTCGATTTTTATCTTCACTTCTTTGGTGCACCCTAAGCAAACCATGTCCGAATTTATTCCTCTAGTTATTGACATCCTAACTTGTTTCTGTGGTTATTGTGCCAAATGGGCAGATTCAATACGCAATCTTGGAGAAAAGCTCAACTCTTTGGAAAGTGCTTCAAAGCAACTCGACGATATGTATCATGATGTCAAGATGAAGGTCGAAGCAGCAGAGCAGGACCCAAGGCTGACGGTTTTGAATCGGGCAAGGGGTTGGATGCGCAGAGAAGAAGAGCTACGAAAGGAAGTCGAAGACATTGTGAAGCAAGGTCGTCGAGAAATACAAGCCAAATTTTTCGGAGGTCATTGTCCCAAGAATTGCCGGGCTATCTACAAGCTACAAAAAATGGTTGACCAAAAGCTGAGTGACGTTGATGATCTTACAAGCGAAGGCCATTTTGATGTTGTAGCAGAAAAGATTTCCCGTTATATGTTCTATGAACTTCCTGTGGCTAAGCTTGTAGGGGTAGAATCAACATTTGAGAAGCTATGTTCATGCTTTGAGAACAATCCGAGAGGCATCATTGGTTTGCGGGGAATGGGAGGGGTAGGCAAAACAAGTCTGCTCAGGAAATTCAACAACGATTTCCTTTCAAAGAAAGCAAACAATGTAGTCATTTGGGTTGTGGTGTCTAAAGATGCAGATGAAGGAAAAATTCAAGTTGCCATTAGGAAGAAATTGAATGTCACAGATGATGAATGGAATAATAAGACGGTGGATGAAAGAGCTGTTGTGTTATGGAATATCTTAAAAAACAAGGAATTTGTGTTGTTATTAGATGATGTGTGGGAAAGGATTGACCTGTTAAAATTGGGGGTTCCTTCCCCTAATAATCATGAATGTAAGATAATATTTACAACTCGGTTAGAAGAGGTATGCGGTTGGATGGGTGCGGATGCAGATGGAAGCATCAAAGTAAATTGTCTCCCACCAGATAAAGCATATGATTTGTTCAAGGAGAAAGTGGGCGATGCTACTCTTGAACAACCTAATATATCGTCTCTTGCAAAGCAAGTGGTGGAAGAATGTAAAGGCTTGCCACTTGCTCTTTGTACTGTTGGGCGGGGGTGATGTGAGCACAAACTTCCCACAAAAACCCCATTGTCCTAATCTCGTGACTCTACTTATTAGGAATACTTGGATACAGGCCTTTCCAACTGAGGCATTTGTCCTTCCAAGTACTGTCAAAGTTCTGGACTTTTCTTCTAATTATGGAATAAGAGATGTACCATCAGAAATAGGGGACTTTGTAAACCTGGAACACATGAACCTATCCAATACTCGCATAAGAAAATTGCCAGAGGAGTTGAAGAATTTGAAGAAGCTGAAGGTCTTGTTGCTGGACAGAATGCACGTGCTTGAATTCCCAGAGAAAGTTATATCCGGTTTGTTATCCCTTCAAGCTTTTAGCACGAGACGGTCAAAACTTGGAGGGATTGATGAAAATGTGTTGTTGAATGAGCTAGAAGGCTTAGATCGTCTTCGAGATATACGCATTTCTGTCTTCAGCACCTCCTCTGTCGAAAAAATACTGAACTCCCCAAAATTGCAAAGATGCATGTGTGAGCTATTTGTTACAAGAGTACACTCATCACTTCGCGACTTGTTCTCATCACTTGGAAATATGAAGCATCTTGAAACATTAAAAGTTGATGCTTCTGAGGTTGCGGAGACTCCGAGGAGCTTATTTAGGCGGACATGATTATATAACCCTTCGCAAGCTGGTTCTCATTGGGTTTCATAATATGCGTGACTTGAACTGGCTTCTACATGCTCCAAACCTTGAATTCCTTACATTAGCCTATTGTGATTCATTGGTGGAAGTTATAAGTAGCGAGGATTTTGGCACTGAGATACAGAAAAGTAATCTATTTTGCAGTCTCGGTTATCTTCGATTGAGATATCTGAGGAACTTAAGGAGCATTTGTAGAACAGCATTAGAGTTTCCTTGTTTGAAGGAGATTGAAGTATTTCACTGCGGCAATTTGAAGAAGCTCCCATTTTCTCAAAATACATTGAAAAATCTACAACGCTTTATAGGATATGCTGAAGAGTTGTTGGATCAATTGGAGTGGGAAGACGAAGCTACCAAGGATCTTCTTTCATCAAAATTTCGAAGGGTAATTATTTCTGTCAACTAATTGCAATCAGTTACTTAAAGCTTTAAAGTTATTCTCACTTCCATGCAAAGTCCAATATACTTTCTAATTGACCCGAGCGCTGCATCCACATAAATATTCATCATGAGATTATAATATCTGTGAATAACTTATTTTCCCAATATGGCGTTTTAAAATTTGTAGAATTTTTAATTTAAAGTACGCATAGCATATTTCACCAAAAGAGTACAAATAGCATGTAAGAAAATTTTGATATTGTGATGCTTGCCTGCATGCGTCCTGTTCCATATAGAACTGAAAATGAAGAGAAATAGTAAATTTGTAAATATTTTGACATATAAATCTTTGTTCCCCCTGTTTGTGCTTTATTATTTGGTTTGAATTTTTTTTTCGGTTACTGTCTGCTGGTTGTGGATTTTGTGCCCTTTGTTTTGTTTTAGTGTGGGCTTTTGTATGGTCTGTTTCTATTATTGAATAAAAGAAGTCTGGTGAGTATTTGGCAAAAATTGATATAAATTACTCTTTTTCATGCCTAATTAAAACCATTAAGCTATTATATGCAATAAATTTACTAAAACTTATACAAGGAATAATTAACTAGTGTATTAATGTAGTTAATCAAAGACAATTCAAAGACCCAACATTGAATTCTAAGCCGTGTTCAAGATCTAATACTTTAGTAAATGATATATGCATACAAATTCTTGTATATATTTTTTTAAAAAAAGTTGCATTTTTGTAAGAAAATTACACATACACATATATATTAAATTATACATAAAAAAATAATATAATGATATTTTATTTTGAAAAGCACCACATAAGAGAAGGCATTAATTGAACCATTCCGTAACAAATTTATTGATTTATAGAATATAAAAAGATTAATTATTTGCGTTCATCTGCTGCAGTATCTTTTTTTTTTCTTTTTCTTTTTTAATATCAAGTGCCTTCGCTGATTCATTTTTGATTTTTAACCCTGGCTAAACTTTCCGTGCACCCATCGCTTCGGAGCGTAGCTAAACAAGCACTTATGGGAACTAGAGTTCGGCTCAGAGAGTGAGTATTTATTGTAACGTTATGCATCCTTTCAAGTACGTTTTATTTATATATATTTTCTTTTAGGTTTAATATACTTTTTTGTCCCATAATGTTGTCTTCATTTATTTTGATTTGGGTCCTTTAAGTTTCAAATTATAGGTTTTACTCCTTTAAAAAACAAAATGATTTAAGTTTTTATAGAATTATAGGATCAATATTTTAAATAAAAAAAATTGAAGGATAAAAGACTATGATTTGAAATTTGAGGATCAAAACAAAATGAGGATAGACTTCAGGGACCAAAAATTATAAATGAAGAGAAATAATAAATTTGTAAATATTTTGACATAAAAATTTTTTGCTACTATTTGGTGTGAAGCTTTTTTGGGTTGCTGTCTGCCGGTTGTGGGTTCTGTACCCTTTGTTTTGTTTTAGCTTGGCCTTTGTATGATCTGTTTCTATTATTTAATGAAGGAGCTTAATGAGTACTTGGCGAAAACTGATATAAATATTTTTTTTCATGCCTAGTTAAAAGCCGTTAAGCTATTATATGCAATAAATTTATTAAAACGTATACAAGGAATAATTAACTATAGTTTATTAATGTAGTTAATCAAAGATACTTCAAAGACCCAACATTGAATTCTAAGCGGTGTCCAAGATCTAATATTTTAGTAAATGGTAAATGCATACAAATTATTGCATATATTTTTTTAAAAAACTACTTTTTTATAAGAAAATTAACCAATACACATATATTAAATAATACATAAAAATAATATAATGACATTTTATTTTGAAAAGCAACACGTAAGAGAAATTTTAAAAGAGACTGACGGACATTGAACCATTCCGCGGCAATTACTTGTGCTCATCTGCTGCAGTATCTTTTCTTTTTGCCTTTCCCCCCCCCCCCCCTATCAAGACCTTCGCTGATCAATTTTTTTTTCCCGGGCCAAACTTTGCTTGCAGCCCCGCATTGTTTCCACGTCAGGGTGCGAGCAGTTGGTGGTGAGTGCCTTTTATTGTATCCTTTCAAGTACCTTTTATTGATACTCCCTTCAATTTTAAGTATATAACCTATTTTTTAATATAAATTATATTATAAAATGGGTTTTATATTTAGGATTAGAAAAATATATTGTTTTTTTTTCCAATGTTACGATGGATTGCAATGGTAAGTTTCATTATTCAAACCCGTATATTAAGCAAGTCTTTACTCTTTAAAGATCACCTTCATATGTTGGCCAAAAAAAAAAAAAGGTCGCCTTCATACTTTTTTGAATTAAAATACATATATACATATACAGACACAGACACGTTAAATTATAAATTTTATTTTGAAAAGCAACACATATGAGAAAATTTACTAGTGACTAACACGCATGAAACTATTGCTTAACAAATTTATTGATTTATAGAATATAACAAGAAATATAAAAGGACTAATTACTTGTGTTCATCTGCTGCAATATTATTTTTTTTAATTATCAAGAGCCTTCACTAATTAAACTTTTTTCCCCTGCTAACTTTTCATGCAGGCCAGTATCAGAGTATGTCGTCTAAGAAAGGTTATCATTCGAAGGTGGGTGCCTAAGAATTTTCCTTTTCAGGTGAATAACATATTGTGTATATATATTGAAGATAAAATTTCTGGAAATAAATGAGTGAATAAAGGTTATAGTCAGTGTTGCTATATTCCTATACTCTCTCAGATTGTATCGTTCTGTATCCTCTCAAGCACTATGGTTTGAGTACTTTTACTGTTTACCCATAAACATTGCCATAAGATTGTACGCTATGTCTTTTGTTTTATGTTATGATTTTGGGTTAATATAATCATTAGTGTGCTTATAATTTTTCGTATAATTTTGGATTAGTATAATCATTAGTGTGCTTATAGTCTCTTTTTATTTTAGGTTTAGTCCGTAAAATTTTTAGAACGTGCTTTTTGATTCTTTTGAGTTTGTCCCTTTGGATCGTTAGTCCTAATATTTCTAAAAGGCTTGGACTTACTTGGCAAGATGACTGGGTAACTTTGCTGACCAAGCTTCTGATCTGTACAAGTGACAAAAACAAAATTGAACCATAAAACGCAACATAAGAGGCCATGACCAAAAGGAATTCTGATAGAGATAAAGAAATGGGTTATGATAAGAATTTGTGTAGTAGTATTATGCCAAAAAACCCATACAGAAACTGAACGCAAAAATCAGACTTTTGAACGAGTAACTGGAAAAAGATTTAGAAACGGACGAATGTGGAGCCCCATGACTGTGTTTCCTGCTGTGACATTTATGTTTTCTTGAAACCTTTCCTCCTCCTCTTGTGCTGGTTGCTTTTTCTCCCGTTGCAAAAATCGTACACAAATGTTTTCCAGAGTAAGATAATAAGAACAAGAGAGAAGCTTCATAGATATACACGAGGAAGTAGAAGCCGTTGGGATGTTTGTTGGCAGTGATCATGGTAGCAAGAAGGAAATGGATAGCATGAATTGAAACAAAGCGGTTCACATCCTTATTTTCCTGTTGTCTTTTGGACACGAAGGATTATAATAAATGTTGTTTGAAGCTGTTTGTATTCAAGAATGTCGAATCAGAGCCACAGAGATTTAGGTTTGGCTTGAAAAAGTTGTGAAGAAGTTATAGAAGAAAGAGTGGGAAGATGCTCAGTTGGTAATAGATTGATATTCAGAGTTGTGGGTTTGTTTACGGTTCATGCTATATAGGCTTGGGAATGAGTCCAAAAGCAGGGAGGTTTTGGCAATCCAAAGAAAACAAACACACGTTGATATGCTCTGTTCACCTCTGTTTTCATAACCAAAAACAGAACTAAATCCAAAATAATTAAAATCACTTCAACACAAACTCAGACAAGTACCCAATAAGTAGTAGTTGCAGCTTATTTTAAAGCAAGAGGAATTCAGATAGAGGTATTTGTAGTGATTGTGACATGGGCATAGTCACTTATGGATTAGCATTTCTCCTTCTCTAATGGTGTCAAGTTGCTAAATTTCCAATGTGACCCAACATGGCAACAACCAGATGATTCATAAGGAAGCCTATTGGCGGCACCAAGCTAAAACTAACAAACCTCAATAGAATACAAAAATGCAAAATTGTTGTTCATGCAGGTATTCATTAGAAAAGAAGGAACCATGCCCTGCAACTGAAGGACCAAAATGTTTGCTTCCTTCTTTGCAAAGTTTGGCTCCAATGACCACCCAATATCAGTGTGTCTTCTGGACCCACCACTAAATGCATACTTTAGTCTGAACATAATTTTTTTTTTTTTTTTACCGAAGGGTCTGAACATAATTAATGAAAGATACTTCAAAAATCGAACATTGAATTATAAACGGTGTTCAAGATCTATGATTTTAGTAAATAATTTATGCATACAAATTCTTGTCTATATTTTAAAAAATTACATATTTCTTTTGTTGGCAAGAAAATTACACACACATTAAATTATATGTAAAAATCATATAATAATATTTTATTTTGTAAAGCAACACATCAGAGAAAATTTATAACAGATT